GATTATTTTTAATTTCAAAACATCCAAAAAATTATGATGCTCTAAATAAGCTGCTAAAATAAATCTTTACTGTTCCATTTGACATGTTTTTCGAAAATCGGATTTTTCACTGTTTTATTTATGAGCTTTGTGATATATTTAATTAATAACCTTTTTTCCCTTCGCTGTTTGATTTATAAGGATGTGAAGATAAATTCGAATTTAAGTAGCTAAGCCACTTATCATTTCCGTTAACAAAACACTTTTAACAAATTAACAGAGCTCTGTTAACTAATTACAATTGAGGTATAGTTGGATTTGAAAGCCTACTCCGTCGATATTAAAAAAAGGAAAATATTTTTGTGAACATTTCATGAATCTATATGAAAATATTTTTCAAACAAACTAAACAAATTTAAATTCTGCCTATTGGGGTTAATTTTAACGGTGTTTTGAAATTTGGTATAATAGCGAAAAATGGATATGGGATAACAGGCACACTTGAGGCTCTAGTGCGGCCAAAGTAGAAAATGTCACCAATATTCACCTATATCACGTGAATCTATATAAAAGTGCCTATCGAATGAGCAAAAAAAATTAAAACTTTTCTTTGGGGAACTATTTGTAACGATTTTTTGAAATTTGGTATATTAGCGAAAAATGGATACGGAAGAAATTTGAGACTCTAATGCGGCCTGTACAGTCTGTAGTACAATATATACACTATACTGTAGTACAATATATTGTATACAATATACTGTATATATACAGTACAGTATGCATATACTGTATATATACTACAGTATGGTATGCAGTATACTGTGTATATACAGTACTGTATATATGAAATCCTGCGTAAACATTACAATTGGTGGCATTATAGCTTACTCCTATGTTTTGCCTTGTAAGTGAAAAATGTTTTTTCTTTCATTTATGTGAAAATTTTTTTCTATTTGTTTATTTAAATAGATTTATTATACTTTATATTATAATAATTTTTCTAATTTTCTTTAATAACTTTTCAATTTAGCATGCAGTTGAAGCTACTTTCACTGCCATTGTTTATCGATAGTCTCCGTTCTTCCTGTAGGTGGTGCTGTGTTCAATCTCCATAATCCACTTTTCAGCTCGCCGTTCACTTCTGAATCTCTCTGTTTATTATCTAGGCACACGATATACTATTAAAGAGTTGTGGCAAATGGTTTGGCGATCGTTACACTATACGGTTGCTGTATATATCGGTAGTGAGATCTATTCTGGAAGATGATATTCTTCAATTTTATCTGGGATCCACCATACAATCTGTACCTTGAATAAATTGAGGCAAACAGTTTTTACTGTTTTGCTTACGGAATTTGCTCTATAATAATCTAATCTTCACCTTCTACCACATAAAAATCGTTTAGCGCTTATAAATTTGTTCACTCTGAAAATCAGACGAATTATCCTCAATGCATTGTTTGTTCACAAGCTATTGATTGGCATATCTAATTCCGAGTACTTGTTATCTTGTTGTTGTGCCCTATTCGTAGATTGTGAAAACTATATAATGAGAATTACAACCTGATTGACTTTGGCGAGAGGGCTTCTACAATAAAGTCGCACACTATTAAACACTTAAACATGCCGTAATAAAGTCTTTTATTTGTCCCGGTTGGCGGTCAGCCGAACCCTGGTGCTCCTATGTTTAATGTTTTTTTTAATCCTCATGTTTACGGATAGATTTATGGTGTCGATAATGATTAATTATATGATACTTATACTGGCGGAAACTACAGCTACTATTGGGAAAACTATTCTGTAAACTTACCAGAAGTGATTAAAATTGTTTTCTCCTATTTAAAAATCCCCTCCCTTACCCGTTTTTTTTTTTCTTTCATCTTTTGCTTTAAAAGATCACCTTTTAAAGAAATATTTCATTTGGTTAACCGAAAACATATAAATAAAAGCTAGCAACGCATGCAAGCAGGCAAGTTGCGTCCCATGCACAACGCGCAACGCTAACATTGTGTTTAATGCCTTACACAACTATTTCAATTCTCTATAGAATTGATTCAGTTTTATACAAAACTGCATTTGTACTACGAATTCTATATAGAGCGCGATGTTTACGTGTTAAAGGCAAAATAATATTAATGAATTTAAAAGATTTTTTATATGATGTTTATAATATTGTATTTATAGCTGCATATTATAAGTTTTAGTTTTATAAAATTACTTTAAATTCTGAAATTTAACGTATAAAGATTAGAAATGCTATAAAATCAAAAATTAATTAATAAAACAAAGTAAATAAAAATCATTAAGAGAATTGTGTTTGCCTTGATATCTATCCATAGTCTTAAGTATGAAATTGTAGGAATATATTTTTGCTTTAATCATTAATATGATTTTTGTGCAGAAATGTTATATAATTTTGATAAAAATGCTTTTAATCAATTTCACATCTGTCTGGGTGGAGAGTAAGAAGTTGAAATTTTTATTTTCTTTCGGATGAATAAACCAAGATGTTGAAAGATATAATTTTTTTCTTTCTATTTGTTCATTATCTATACATTTGGTAACTAAATTTACAAAGTATGGATTTAAAAGCTGCTGGATAGTTTAGACCATATGCTCGCCTATATTAAAAACTCGCGCGTTTTTGAAATTTGAACCGGCGACCATCGAATTGTTCGTCGGAAGCCTTTGCCTCTTCGGCTGCTCAAGCGGACTGAAGATACAATAGTTCGTTTGCTCTTGTGTGCGAATTATGGGGTTATTATTAGAATAGTGGCAATAATAGTATGCATTCATCTTTGCTTGATAATTATAAAAAAAAAAAAAAAAAAAAAAAAAAAAACAACACTACATGTATTAGCTGCCCATATTAAAGATCTTATCGTAAAGGTCTATTGCTTCAGTCAAGCAGCCAGTCAGTCCGTTAACTACAGATAAGACACTTGATAAATTCAAAGAGATAACAGATTATGTTTAACAAAAAAAAAAAAAAAAAAAAGTCAACCTAAATTTGCTAACAACTAAAAAATTCCAGAAATTTTTATCTGAGGTCTAGCTAAGTGCTTACGTTTTATGGAAAATTATAACATTCTATACATGTTTTATAATAAATGAGTATATTTTTACTGCATATATATGCAGATATCATACTACCTACATATTGCGGTGGTAGTTATATATATACATATGTGTGTTTATGCAAAAACATTAGAACAGAATTTTTAACCACAATTCATAGACACTGAAATTATACAATATTTATGAATGCATCGAAGCACTCATAAATGCGAAAACTAGATTACAATAGAAACTCGCTTAAGAGGATACGGACTTGGTTGATATGGTATTTTCTCTCTTATAGAGAATTGTTCTTCTCATTAAACGGCCTATAGCCTACAGCTGATTGCAAGCTCACTATTTACGGGAGAATTATATCAAACGTCAGATAGAAGAAGTTTAACAGAGAGCAAGTTGACTTCCTATGTCACTCAGCAAGTTGAGCATTAATGCTATTAACATTTTACAAATAATATACGAGAAAATCAGTTCACCGTATTTTGCTAAGTTTTTATTTTTCGGCGACTTTTATTTTCAAAAAAAAAAAATTTGTCTTTGTTTGTTAATTTTGGATGTATTTCTAGGCAGCCAACTTTATTAATTGAATCGGTCCGGCATAATATTTGTTTTAAATTTCGGAATTATATCGTAAAAAACCGTGAAGATGATGGTGAACTTGAAAATTGTTTTAAATTTTTTGCTTTTTTCACCCTGGGGATGTGCCCTTATCGCGTAACGCGGTGACGATAAGAAAAAAGGTAAGAAAAGAGAAAGATAGGAAGGAAGAAGTGGGGAGGTAGAGAACGCAGACTATTGGATGTCCCTAATGACTAAGCACTTTAGCTACGGGCAAATCAAAATTCCACCGCAAGCAGTAACTTACTAATCGCTATTCTTATTTACTCGGCTCCTTTTTTGTTGGGTGAACCGCGATTATTTTTAAACCCAATGCTAAGATATTAACTACATGGACATCAGTTTTCAATTTTTCGATTGTCTTTAGACTTTCAAAAACAAAACGCGGTTAAATACAATCTGTCTTTGATCAAGTCAAACAAACTCGCTCACCCCTATTTCCAGCAATTACAAACGAAATAATAAAACTGACGTACGCACGTCCTTGTGCAGAACAACATTGTAAACCACTTACGGGTAAATATGAAGAAAAAAACAAATCCGTGAAATTTTCATTTAAAGAACAGTCTACCGTTAATGATCCATATATGTGTTCAATGGTATATTTAGAATTTTTTGAAATATGCATATGCTTGGCCTTCTACGCGCTGTCACCACAAACAAAATTTTGCATAAGGAATATATTGAATTTTTTTTTTAATCCGCCTC